GCACTGCAGAAGATGGGGAGGGTGGGAATGGTCACGGAGAGCTGCCCAGCTCTGCTGCACTGCCCCACAGATGCACAGTGCTCCACCAGGGAGCACCGCGGAAGATGGGGAGGGTGGGAACAGTCAGGGAGAGCTGCCCAGCTCCGCTGCACTGCCCCAAAGATGCGCAGTGCTCCACCAGGGAGCACTGCAGACGATGGGGAGGGTGGGAACAGTCAGGGAGAACTGCCCAGCTCTGCTGCACTACCCCACAGATGCACAGGCATCCTCCAGAGACCCCACCCCCATGCCCAGGTCCTTCGGACCAACACTGACTGCAGGAGTTCAAGCTGAACAGTTCCTCATCAGTGACTTACCGCTGGGACAAAGGAAGACACATAGCCGCCAGCTTCTGAACCATCAAATACCCCAGGCCGCCTGGGGACCCGGACCCTGTAGAGGCCATTGACGGTAGCCACATCCTGCAGGGTACGCAGACACCCATGAGGGGACAGTGTCAGCCCAGCAGGCTGGTCAAGAGGGGGCTTCCCCAACCTTGCTCTCAAAGCACGTTACACGCCGTGGCTGACAAGTCTGCTCAGAATCTTCCTCCTGGCTACCAAGTGAGGCTCAAACAGCTGGGGCTTCCCACACACCCATACTCCCAGGTGGAGAAGTCACATCAGCTCAAGTGAGCATCCCAGCACTGTTAAGACTGGATCCAGACAAACATGATCCTCCACCCGTACACACCTAAACTCAGGTACCACAAATGGTGGCCTGTAGGAGTGGCTAGGACAGAGAATCCCATGGAGACCAGGCAGGGAGGCAACAGCAGGCCTCTCGCTGCCTTCCTGCACAGAAGACACCGAGGCACACGGCCACTGCAACAAAGCAAGTTCCCCTGCCTCCCTCACGCTGGGAGCAAGGACAGAGCCCAGCCCAGACAAGGCTGAAGCTTGAAAGGAGCCTCTTGTTCTGGGCTCTTTTTCAGGATGGTAAGAAGGTACCCCATAGGGAGAGGTGGCTGAGTTAGGCATCAGGGCCCCAACCTCACCCGGAGCCGGCCCCGCTCCTCCTCACTGAGTTGTCGTTGTGTTACCGACAAGGTACCGTCCTGCTGGTTCCAGAGCAATGAGCCACGCTTCTGGAAGTTGGCTCCATCACCTGTGGGGAACTGGGCTCAGTACCAATCCCCCCAAGTGTGACCTGCCCCACCTCAGTGACAGTAGCTTCCTCCCCCACTTGTCTGCTGTCAGGTACTGCACTGCCTTCTAGTGACTCTGGGGTGGTTACAACAACTCTCTGGGACAACCACAGCAAAGAATACACTCTGAGTCGACTGGTAAGACCCTTTAGTCAGGCAGATACAGAGGCTGGCCCAGTTCTGCCTTCCCTGAAAAAGGGGACCCTGTGGTGCTGCCCCAGACTTGTTTCCTTTGCTGTAAAATGGGCCAATGCTCAGACCCTCTGCCTCACAAGACTAGGAGCAAAGGAAGACACAAGTCAGGGTTAGAGAAGTCTGCTCTGACATTCCTCCTTCAGTTGACTAGGTCTGGGGTTGCTCCTACAGGTCGGGGGCAAGAAAGAAATTATATATATATTTTATGTATGTCACATATATACACACAGACTCATATATACACTGTGTGCCTATGTATGTATGCATGCATGTGTACACCCAGATGTGCACATGTGATGTTGTGTATGTATGCATGTGTATGTATGCATGTGTGTTATGTATGTATACATGCATGTGTACACCCAGATGTGCACATGTGATGTTGTGTATGTATGTATGCATGTGTATGTATGCATGTGTGTTATGTATGCATGTGTATGTATGCATGTGTTATGTATGCCTGCATGCATGTGTACACCCAGATGTGCACATGTGATGTTGTGTATGTATGTATGCATGTATATGTGTGCATGTGTGTTGTGTATGTATGCATGTGTATGTATGCATGTGTGTTATGTATGCATGCATGTGTACACCCAGATGTGCACATGTGATGTTAACTTGTATTTAATTTCTGCAAATGACAATTTTATTAGCGCAAAGCAACAGGACATTTTAAGAGGGCGATGCTGACATCTGGACACACAAGCGGAGGCCCTGACGGCTAGTTTCAATTGTAACCTGACACAATCTAGAACCACAGGGGAAGAGTCTCAGTGAGGGACTGTCTAGGTCAGGCTGGGTCGCGGGTGTCATCTGTGGGCGAATGTCTTGACTGCATTCATTGAAGCAGGAAGGCCCAGAAAGCCCACCACTGCAGGCGAGACCAGTCCCTAGGTTTTTATCGTGAGTTGTGGTTAAGCGTAGAGAGGGAGCTGAGCACAGTGAGCAAGTGTGCACTCGTTCTCTCTGCTCTGGACTGTGGGTGACGTGACCAGCTGTCTAAAGTCCCCGATTTGACTACTAGGAAGGGCAGGAACTGGAACACTGAGAGAAAGGCAGAAAAAAGACGCGCATGCGCTATGGAGTTTGTGGCCCTGGGAAGAGACCAGAGACTCAATCCAATTATAATTAAAAGGGTTATTGATTAGCGGCTAGGAGGATGATAGCCTTAAAGCTGAATCTCAGGCGTGTCATGGAGAAGGGGTATGGGGAACAGTTTTTAACAGCGAAAGCCACAAGAAGACCTTCAATATCTATGCAAACAAATCAATACGGGCCTGTTCTGCCACGTGGGAAAGGCAACCCAAAACAACCTCTGAGTCTCTGTGGAAGCAAGTTACAGAAGCCAAAAACCAATTAGCCATATAACAAGATGGTCACAGCTATACATTTTTGGGTGGGGGTCACTGAGTCAGGCTGAGAACTTCCCTTCCAGGTGTTGTAGTCGGGGACAGTTAGTGGGTATCAGGTAGATGCCTGGCTTAAAACGCAGCTTCTTTAGTCATCACACGTACAAGTATGCACACGTACCTACACCATGTGTACACATGTGCATGAATATGCATCTATGCATGTGTGCTGTATGTGTGTGTGTAATTTCTATTAAGAGAAATTTAACCCAGACCCTAAGACATGCCGGACAAGCACTCAATCCCTTGAAGCCAGGAAGAGCCATCTAAAAGTAGCTTCTCTCCACCCTCTCTCCACCAGACAGGCTGTTAGGTCCCACTGGATACGTACAAGGCTCAAACACACTGAACTCACCAATCTCAAATGAATGCTCCAGCAGCAATCCCACAGTACCACAGCCCTCACCTTCACGACCATCAGCCCCAGCCTGGAGGAGAGACAGGAGCCCCAGGTAAAGACCACTCAAATTCTGGGCAGGGCAGAACCAACTGGCCCCAGGACAGAATGGCAGATTGAAGGCCATGTTCACACACAATTACAGGTACGTTCCCCAGAACTGTCCTGCTCATGAATATTCTGAGATTTTTACAGCTCAAAAGAAAGCCCTATAAACATGTTTAAATGTTACTCTTGTGTCCAAGACCCAGGCCATTATCTTTTGTTTGGTTGGTTGGTTAGCTAGGGGTTTTATACTTCCTTTTTTGGTTTTTGTGTTTGTTTTATTTTGAGACAGCTCACTGTATCGCCCAAGCTAATCTCTAACTCATTCCTTCTGCCTCCAGGGCCTGGTGCTGGTATTACAGGCCGCACGCACCACCAGGCTCTGCTCTCCAGCTTACTGTCAGCTTTTCCTTCCTGAACTCACAGACACTGGCTTTTCCTTTGCATAGATGTTAATACCCTAACCATTCACTGTCAAGAATTCCACCCCCTCTTCAGTACATCCTTGATCCTACACTTTTTTTTTCCCATTTTCTGTAACAGTCTCACTAAACCACTCCCAGGCTGCTCTAGACGCAAGACGATCCTCCTGCCTCAATCAGCTGAGTGCTGGATGTACAGATAAATCGTCACCGCCAGCGGCTTCATTTTTTTGGTTTGGTTTTGAATTTTGTGTATGCGTGTTTGCTACATGTACATCTGTGCTCATGTACATGCCTGGCAGGCCAGAAGAGGATGTTATAGACAGTTGTGAGCAGCCAGGTGGGTGCTAGGAATCGAACCCGGGTACTCTGGAAGAGCGGTCAGCACCGTTTTTGTTTGGGGTGGGGGGGGGGAGTCTTGTTTTTGTTTTTTTTGAAACAGGGTCTTAGGAAGCCCAGGACCTTGAACTCCTAGGATGTCAGGACTGCACCCTCACGCCAACCAAAACCTTTTATGTCTTAACTTCAAGCTTTTCCTACTCAGGTATCTACAACACTCAATGACTCCTGTAGAACCTGGCTTCCTCGTGCATACTCAGAAATACGACTCCATCCCTAGCGCTCAGGCGCTAGCGCTATATCTATATTGTTTACTGAGTCAGGGTCTCACTATGTAGCCCTACCTGACCTCGAACTCACCTGTCTCTGCCTCCCGAATACTGCAATTGAAAGCGTGCACCATCACACCCACTTTTTTGTATTTTTGAGACAATGTCATGCAGCCCAAGCTGGCCTCAAACTCCTTCCTTGATCCTCCAGTCTCAGCCTCCTGAGCACTGGGATGAAAGGTGTGCACAACCACGTCAAGCCAAGTTCTTAGCTTCGGTTACAGACCGCATCCTCTCAAGAATATTCACGATGCGAGTCCATCTAGAGCCTGCAGGAGGCTGCCCCGCCCCGGCCGCCAGCACTCACCCCGCGCGCGGCGGACCCGACCCGGCAGCCGCTGCCTCGGGCCCTACTTGGAGCCGCGGCGGCTATCAGCAAGAGCACGAGCAGCCGGGCAGCCCCAGCACCAGCAGCCACCATAACGAGGATCTGAGAAGAGCCGAGCGCCGTAAAGCACGCTGGGAACCCGAGTGCATCCTGAGGCTCATGCGCCTGCGCCGCGTGCCGCCCATGCGCACTAGCCCTCGTTCACCTGCCTCCTCTTAGAGCGGCCTTTTCTTCATCCGGGCCTCTAGGGCTCACCCTCCCGGCTCCACTTCCTAGGCGTGACGTCACCGAACGCACGGTGCTCATTGTGATAGAACAGGCTCTAGGACCCCGCCCCTTACCTTTCTGGCCTTGACTCCACTCCGCGTCCCCACCCAGGGCCGGGGCGTGGCGATGAAGGGCGGCCGCAATCCTAAGCGGGCCCCCGGCGGACCTGGTGAGGCCGGGTCAGATGGACGGCAGGGCAGGGGAGGAGCCAGCCGGGCCCGGAGGGTTTGGCCCTGGTTAGGGAGCCTGGGGAGCATGGGGCCCGCAATGCGGAGGCCGCTGCCTCGCGTGCGCCCCCTGCCGGGGGACTCGTACCTGTCCTGGGGTGGATGCCAGCCCTTCGCCCCAGCAGACCGCCCCCTGGTTCCAGCTTACGCCCCGTGCCGCCCTGGGCGCCTCCAGCGCCACCTCCTGAGCGGCGAGTTCGACCAGCTGCGCGACTTCCCCATCTTTGAGAGCAACTTCGTGCAGGTGTGGAGCCCCGGACCTCCGCCCCTTTGTTTACGGAGCCCCAGCTCTGCGAACTGTGGCTGCCCCTCCATGATCCTTCGCCTTGTCGATCTCCCAAGTGTTCCACATAACCCCCGAACCCTCTCATATCGCCAAGCCTTTGTCTCAGTTTCATTGACTGCGCACACATGTGGTTCTTATCCTTTAATCCTAAAGTATCTGGTCCACACCCTTCGTTTTTCTCTTGTGGTGCTGTGGATGGTACCCAGGCCTTGCTCACGTTAGGCAGGAGCTCCACCGCTTCGCTACACCCACAGCCCCGCACTAGGGGATTCTAGGCAGGTGCTATATACTGAGACACATTCCCAGCCCCTGACCAGCTTTCAACTCCCCTAGTTCTTGACCCTGTCAAGATTCCCAGCACCCCCCAGATCCTGTTCAGTTCTGTTCTCCATCTATCCATCCTGCCTCTAACCTCTGGCCCCAGGTGACCCGGTTTGGAGAAGTCGCCAACAAGGTCACCATGGGGGTGGCAGCCTCTAGTCCAGCCCTGGAGCTGCCAGACCTGCTGCTGCTGGCTGGCCCTGACAAGGAGAACGGACGCCTACAGCTCCTCGGGTGACTGCCCTTCCTGGTCCCAGACTCCTCCCACCTTACAGCCACCATTCTGCTATCCAGGTTTGGGGGACCAAGAGCACCAATATGTGCCAGGCCTGTCTTCTCAGAAAGATGACAGGAAGTTCACAAAGGTCAGAAGTTAGGCAAGATGAGGGAGGACAGTCCTCGGTGACACCACAGGGTCAGGATGGTGACAGTTTATTACAATGCTTTCAGCTTTCCAGATGCTCCTCAGTCCCCGAGAGATAAAGTCAGGATCAGAGCCCAGGCCTATGGCCCAGAGTACCACAGAGCAGGCCAGGAGCTGGGACTAGAACCTGAGGCCCCTCACAATCCTGGTCTCAAAGTACTGCGTTCAAGTCCACTGTTAAGCTCTGCTCCTCTCACTGAAAACTTCACATGCGGAAATCAAGTACCACCAAGTACAAACCTCACACTCAGAACATCCCTTTTCCTAGCCTAGGCCCTACCCTGCTTGAGCCACAAACATTCCATGCTTGGAGTACATGTGCACACTCTGGTGTTCTTGTGGGACCTGCATCCTCTCCCATCATATCTCATTCGTGGAAGACAGCGAGGAAACAGAAAAAGCATGCCTAATGGCACAAGCCTGACATCCCAGCTACTTGGGAGGTTGAGGCACAAGTTCAAGGCCAGCTTGAGATATAAGAGTGGCTTCTAGGCCAGCCTGGATAACTTAGTGAGACCTATGTCTCAAGATAAAAAGCAAAAAGGGATCACTAGGGGGTGACTCAGTAAAGGATTTTCAGGACAAGCATGAGGATCAGAGTTTAAATCCCCCACGGCCATGTAAAGAGCCTGGTACTAGCTAGTTATAGTGGCACACACCTCTAATCCCAGCACTCAGGAGGCAGAGGCAGGTGAGTCTCTTGAGTTTAAGGCCAACCTGGTCTACAAGTTCCAGTCAGCCAGGGCCATATGAGACCTTCTCTCAAAAAAAGGCAGAAGGGGGAGGGTGTGTGCCTGAATACACCCAATTATCTCCTTACCCAGTGGAGAATATTACTCAAAGCAGTTTTCTGCCCTGGTAAACTACACTGTTTCCAACAACAATGTTTGAATATTAAATGCAAGCTTGGGGTCACCTGCTTGCAGCCAACAAAGTATGTGAGACTGTCAGTAATCCCAGCCCTCAGGAGGTGGAGGCAGGAGGAACAAATGTTCAGAGCCAGGATGGATAGTACAGCCAGTTCCACACCAACCTGGGCTACTGATAGCTTCCTCGTCAACAAAACAAAACAAACCCTGTTGGCAATTAGCCCCACCCCTACTCCAGGCTACTCCTGGAGCCAGGCTGAGCCAACTGGACTCGTCCAACTGTCCAACTCGTCCGTGTGGCTGGGTTTTTCTTGAACATGTCAGCAACCCCAGAGCATGGGATCAAACCTCATTGTCTCCTCTGTGCTGTGCCTCAGTCTCCTCATCTGGAAGGTGGGGGTGGGGGGGGACAGTCCTTCCTATTTGTGTTTCGTGAAGCACCTGGCACAGTGTGAACAGTGTGTAAGTGTCATCGGCTGCTGTGACATTGAGGGGACATCCATTGTCCACTGAAGGACACAGGCTTTGTCCCATGACTTGGGGTCACCATGTAACAGGAAACGTGTTCTGTGTATCTGTGTGCATAGAAAGGAGGAGGTTGGACACATCAGGTGGCCCACCACTAGCTCACAACCTTATTTGCACCCACCGCTGCGTGGCCTGGGTCACATTACTCAGTCTCTTGGGACAGTATCTTCCTTTTCTTTGGACCTTAAATCTAGCTGAAAACCTGAGCAATTTGTTTATTCAAATACTCGACAAGCATTCTTTCAGCCGTTCACCATATTAGGAAAAACAGGACTGGGCAAAATCAGGTCAGAGTTCAGAATCCAAGGAGCTCCCGTTGTAGGGACCGGGGAAGAAACAGCATAGATAGAGAACATGGGGTGATGGAAACTATACCCCAAGCAGGGGCTTCTGGTCCCCTGGGAGGACCCAGCCTTGACTTTGGCTGGGCCAAACTAAGATGCTAAACATAGCCCTCTGGTGGCCTGATGGGACTCAGGTGAAGGTGCAGTTGCGAGGATTTGGCAGTAGGACAGGCCCAGGATGAGAGAGAGACAGAGACAGAGGAGAGAGAGAGAGAGGGCCACCTTAGGCATTCCAGGGACATCAAGAAGTGGGAGTCCCCGAAGGATCGCGACAGGGCTAGAAACACAAGGAGGTGTAAGAGGCCGCAACTGAGCCGCCCCTCTCCCGTCAGGCTGTTCCCCTTGCAATTCGTGCAGCTGTTTGTCCACGACGAGAGCCGCCAGCAGCTCAAGGTCAAGTTCCGCACTGGTCGTGCCTTCTACCTGCAACTGCGCGCACCGGCAGAGACCCGCGACCGCGAGTTCGGCCGCTGGGTGCGTCTGCTCTACCGTCTGCGCTTCCACTCGCCCGCCTGCGCAGTGCCCTTCACGCACGAGGACACCGCGCCTGAGGAGGATGAGGAGGAGGAGGAGGTGGAAGAGGAGGAGGAGGAGGGCGAGGAGGGACAGCGGCCCCCGGAGGTGAGAGTGGGGCCGCGAGCCCAGGGATGTTGGGCCAGGAAGGATGGAGAGGGACCAGGTAGGCCTGCTGGGGCCTGGACTCTTGGGTTGGAGGGAGGAAGGCTGGACCCTGGATGCATGGGTTGAGGGAGGAGGGCTGAGGCCTGGACTCTTGGGTCTGAGGGAGAACAACTAGGCCTGGATCCCTGGGCCTGAAAAAAGGTTACCATTTTCCTGCTTCTTAGGGGTTCTAAGGAGAAGGCGGCAGGGTCTGGCAGTAGAGTGGGAACTGTGTGGCTGGTGTTCCTAGCCCAACTGCCTGTAGGCTCCTAAGAAAGAGCACACAACCCTCCCCCAGCCTCCTCTTGACACCAAGTGGGGTCTAGGGAGGAAGGCCTACTCATTGAAGGGGTGGGCTCAGACTGGCCGCACAAGCCTAGTTCCCTGAAAGGGGAACAGGAGAGGCCAGTTCTGGAAGGTGAGGCCTCTTCCCAAGACATCCACAGACCTGCCTATCCCAATCTCAGACCCCCGTGCTGGTCCAGCTCTTAGATGGACGCTCTTCTCCTTAGCTCCAAGCCATAGAGGCAAGACTGGACCCGCAGGTCTCAGAACTCTGGGGACTCTGATTCACACCAGATCGCCAAAGAACCGGAGATGAAGCCAGCTCAGCTCAGAGCCAGACAGATGAAATTTTAAAGTTAATAAATGTCAGGCTCTTAAGAACGAACACCTAGGTCCTGGCTCTTTAATGCCACAATCACCAAGGCCACAGGCTGCCCCAGGTCTTCCTCTAGCATGCTGTGTGCACATTGTGTCCTTGGTGCCCGGTACCCACTTTCCCCAAGGCTTTTCCAGTTGCCTCCTTTTCCCTCTGGTGGAGATGAAACCCAGAGCCTCCCACATTCTAAGGAAGCACTCCACCAGTGAGCCGCCCCTAAATCCCTCACTGGAGGGTTCTATGTAGGGGCTCTATTGCTGAGCCCCACCCCAAGCCCTCCTCTTTATTTTTATTTTAACGCAGGTGTTATTTCATTGCCCAGGACGACTCTGGCCTTCCAGATAGCTAAGATGGCAGGTGTTCCCAAGCCTGTCTCGGATGTTCTGTCCTTTAGGGACGGTGACCAGCCTGACTCGTCCCTCTGGTGATGTTCAAAAGAGTTCAGGCCACGGAGTTTCACCTTTGACTACTGTAAACGCCATGGCAAAGCAGTTCCCTCAGGAAACGCCATTTTCCAAGATGGCAACCAGTGGTATCTGATCTTTAAGGCTGCTTTGAGGTGGCCATCCCATACCCCAGAGTGACTAACCCCACCCACAAGCAGACAAGAACTGCAGATTCTGGAAGGATGGACACATGATAATTTGAGTAATAGTATTTTATCATCACGACCATTCTAGAAAGCTGACTGTCATTCCAAGGGTTGCAGAGCTGATGTCTGGGCTCTGTTGACTGTCCTGACAGCTGTCACTGTGGTACTGCGGGAGAAAGAAGAGATGGTTGGTGAGGCAGCGGGAGGTGGCTGCACCTTCCTACCCGCTCCCCGGACTCTATACTGCATGTATCCATGTGACCAGCAGAGGGGGCAAGAGAGTGCCCATCCAACAACTGTCCCTGAACACCAGTTTCTTTCTCTCTCTCTCTCTCTCTCTCTCTCTCTCCCTCTCTCTCTCTCTCTCCCCCCCCCCCCCAGGGCTACACGTAGCCCCAGCTGGTCTCGAACTCAAATGTGTGACTGAGAGTGTCCTTGAACTCCTATCCTGCTTCCTTCTCCCAGGCACCACTGTGTGTGGGGGTGGAACCCATGGCTTTACGCTGAAGCCACATCTTCAGCCCCACACCTTTTTCTTTTCTTCTTTCTGAGAAGGGGCCTCATGGCATCTAACTTCCTACAGATGAGGCTGGCCTCAAGTTCTTGATGACCCTGCCTCCAGCACCTACAACTAGGGCTACAGTTGTACTTTGCCGTGCCTGGCCATTTTATTTTGTATTTTGCGTTCTAAAATTTATTCACTTATTTTATGTCTGTGTTTGCCTGCTTGAGTTTATGTGATCCATGTGCATGCCCATGGAGGTCAGAAGAGGGCTTTGGAGCCCCAGGAATTTGGAACTACAGATGGTTGTGAGCTCCCATGTGAGACCAAATTCAGGTCCTTTGGGAGAGGAGCCGGTGATCTTAGCCCCCAGCCACCTCTCCAGCCCTTGTTTTTATATTTTATAGTATTTTGATAAGATCGTACTATGTAATTCAGGCTGATTTTGAGTTTGCTCTGTAGCACAGGCTGCTGGTAAACTCTTAAAATTCTCCTATCTCAGCTTCCTAAGTACTGGGTGACAGATGTGTACCACACCCCTGACAGTTTAATGTTGTTTTAAATCCCGCATGGGGACGTTCCGAGAAATTACCGGCTATCAGAAGTCAGAGGGAGCCTACAATGGGGGTACACCTGAGATGACTTAGTCACCCACAAAGAAGACTGCAATCCAGATCAGCCTGAATCCAGAACGAGGCCACTGGGCCTGGGGAGTGATCTTTGAGGGGCTGGAGCCCCTGTCCCTGCTTCTTGGGGCCAGGCAGATCAGCGTGGTTGTGTCTCCAATCAAGCAGGGCCGGACTATGCTAATGGATACTCTGGGAGACGGGGCTGCTTCCAGCAGTGTGTGTGGACTGAAGCCTCAGGGGGACAGTTCTCTCAGGGGATGGTTCAGTGTTCAGAGGCCCAGAGTAGGAATAAAATGTGACCACTGTGGCCCTACCATGGTAGAGGATGTCTGGGACACAATGTGGATGAAAATGTAAGCCTCAGGCTGGAGTTAGGGACAGGGCTGAGATACAAGACAATAAATCCACACTGAAGAGACTGGGGTGTGTTGGGGAGTTGGAGAGGGTCACTCAGCTCTGACTCCAGGGGCAAAGGGCAGGAGGCTGGGTGGGATTTGAGAGGTAGAAGGGGAAGCGTGGGCTGAGATTGGGGCTTCCCAACCCCAGGGCCTTTGCAGGACCCCCCCCCTTCCTCTTCCTGCGGGGCATTCAGGTAGGTTTGTCAAGGGCCCTGGATGAGGGTCAGCCAGTGTGGGACCACTTCCTCCTCACCTCGGACATCCAGCCTGCACTCAGCCAGGGCCTCCCCCAGTTCATTAACGGCACGGCAGGAATAGGTCCCTGCATCGAAGGGCGAAGGTCGGCGGATATTCAGTGTCAGGATGCCCTGGTAGTTGGTTATGAGGAATTTGGGATCCTCGTGGATTTCCATCTTGTTCTTCATCCACACCACCTTCGGCTAAGGAAGGGAACCAGAGAGGAAACTGATTTACAGGGATCCCCTGAACAGAAGCCATGTCGCTACCTGGTTGGGGGGACTTGAACCAGTCATTTACTCTCTGACCCCCACTTTCTTCTGTACAAACAAGTACATGACGCCTAGAGACCTTAGGGACCCCAGTTTGGCCACCATGATCACCTACCTTTCCTTCCCTGTGCTCCAGCATCCCGTACCCTGGAACTGTCTGTCCTGCCCTTCCCCTGCCAGTCACCTCCTGGACAGTCTCAGGACCACCCGTGTTTCTCTGCCATGCCTATCGCCATTACAGTCTTAGATCACCAGTGTCGTCCTCGCCCCCCCCCCCCCCCCCCCAGTGCAAACACAACTTCTTTGTTCCATTTGCAAAGTACATACAAAATCCAGGAAATTATTTGTGGAATTAATGATGTACATCAGCAAATGGAATGAATGAATGAGCTGAGATAAATGAATCGACGCATGGTTAAATGAGACGGTGGGTGGATTTATGAATGAATGAATATTCCCAGACTTGGTGGTGCACACCTAGAATGCCAGACTCAGAAAGTGGGGGATCTAGGCTACATGAATCCTTGTCTGAAAAGGGAAAAATTATGAGGTCTGGAGAAATAGTTCAGCAGTTAGCGCTTGCTACTTTTCCAGAAGATCTGGGTTCAGTCCCAGCACCCATGCCGGGCAGCTCACAACTGCCTATAATTCCAGCTCCAGGGACTCTAATGCCCTCTCTGGCCTACAGGAGTACCACACACACAAGGTGCTCATACGTACACACACATATTTTAAGATTTTTTTTTTAGAGACAAGAGCTTCTCCTTGAAGCCTGTCCTGGAACTCCCTCTGTAGACCAAACTGACCTCAAACTCACAGAGATCCGCCTGCCTCTGCCTCCTGAGTGCTAGGATTAAAGGCGTGGGTCACTACAGTCCTGCTAAATTTTAAGGTGTTTTTAAAGAAGAGTGAACTTGAGAGTAGGTGACTGAGAAGAACCCCAGGAAGCTATGCAGGTGTAAGTGCCCCCCAGGGTTTCTAGGGAGTGGCACTGTTTTCAAACTGAACAGAGTTGGGCTGAATGGATGAGGTGTCCCTGGCAATCACGAGGCAGGAAGCTCAGACCTGCCTGACACTTGGCCTCCACCTGAGGAGCTGCTAATGGAGTATTCGGGGGGCATTGCTGCTAACGGTTTCCCCGGACCCCACCCTGGCACCTTTGGGTGGCCTCTGACGGCACAGTTGAGAGCTGCGGTATATCCCGCTACCACTACCCGGTCAGTCAGCGGTGTCAGGAACTTGGGGGCTGTTCGGAAATCATGCTCCTTGTATTCCAGTGGTTTTAAGGTGATTCCTAGGGAAGATGAGACACCCATAACGTGAGTCCCACCCCAAACCTAGCCAGCGGCCAACAGCCAGGAGTTACAGCTCAGTGCCAGGCAGCCCTGCACCTGTCTTGAGGATTCGCGCTGTGTTCTTGGAGACACCAGGTGAGTCACTGAGACCGCAGATGTTCTCGCTGAAGATTCGGAAATAGTACTCATTGCCCACGATGAGATCCGACACTGTACAGCTGGTGTGGCGATTGTGTTCGTAGACATTGAACCACTCCTGGAATGGGGACAAGGAGGGACCAGGAAAGGCCGGCACGTGGGCCACACGTGAGTAGAGACGCAGGAGAGGCGGGGCAGAAGCAGCAGTCTGTCTTCTGAACCCAGCCCACTCCCACTCGACACACGTGAGTAGAGACTTAGGAGAGGCGGGGCAGAAGCAGCAGTCTGTCTTCTGAACCCAGCCCACTCCCACTCGCAGCCACCGGGTCTCCTAGCCTCAGTTTCCCAGCTGTGACACAGAAAGCTCAGCTCCGCTCTACCAAGGCCACCAGCATTTCCCCAGCCTCCGAGGCCCCTCTGTCCCCTCACCATGGTTTTTTTGTCAGCCTTCTGGACAAAGTAGCCTGTGACCTCACTGTTCCCGTCGTCCTTTGGCGGCTGCCACTCCACCAGCGCATTTGTGCCCCACACCTCCTTCACCATCACGTTCTCCGGTGGCCCTGCCTTTTCTAGAAGGAGGGTTGGGTGTCACACACCATCCGAGGGGCCCTGGTGCCTGGCACTGCTCCTTCCTTCCCCTCCTGACTTTTTTTTTCTTTTTTCTTTTTGACTTGTTGTAGCCCAGGCTGATCTCACTGTATATCTCAAGATTGGTTTGATCTTCCCGCTGCCACCCCGTGAGTGCTAAGATCATGGGCACACACCACTACACTTCGTTTGCCCAGCGCTGCGGATGGAACCCTTCCTTACCCCACCTTCCACCCTTCCTGTTTCAAACCTCCCTT